TACTATGTCGCATCCTTCGGGAATTTGAAAAAGTGGGTAATTTCCAGGAACTGCGATATAGCATGTTAGTCAGTAATAGATGCTATTAAGTAGTGTGAAAAAATCGGTTGGGAGTTTTGGGACAAAATAAACCGGATGGATGAAAATTATGTCAATTCCGTTACTTGTTCCCAATGTTTATAATTAAGCACTGTTTATTTATAACGGAATTTCGATATACCGTCCTGTGTTTCCTTTATGTATCCAAGATATAGAAATCTTTTACGGTGCCCTCAGCCTAATTGTAGAACATTGCATCCGATTTTCAACCCATTTTCAGTTTCTTGTGTCCAATTATCGTGAAACTACTTACCTTTTTCATCAGTGGAATTTTCTCAAACCCAATTATCGCATAATAATTCAAGTCTCTTTCTCCATTTCTTTCTAATGTTAGGCTAACCATAAAATTGAGCATATGGCGTCCATCATAATATGCAACTGTTTTGGCTGTAAAAATCACAACCAGCTCGATAAAAACAAGAATGAACCGAGTTGAACACGGGATGAAAAGCCGCAATCGACGGAAATCGCGCCCTCTAAAATAATTATGGGGCATTCTGAGTACATAAACTTATTTCTTGTATTCCAAACTGATTGTTCGCTGTACAATCTAATCATGATTTTTCGGTGAAAAATGTGTAGCTTTAACTCCGTAGATAACTTGTTTGTTCGCTTTTGTTGCTGCTACGACCGATTGATACATTCGTTATGGCCAGTATCGATAAGCATAAGTGACGGATTAAGTTCGTGTTCACCTGCTGAACACACGTGATTAACAAATTAAAAGTGCATCGCTCAGTCAAGATGACCTTTGACAAATGACCTGTCTAATTTCACGGGTGCTCTAGCAAGGACAAGTGCGATTATCGTTCACTCACACTCACTCCGATCGTTTGGATCGGACCTCGGACATCTTACTCCACACACCGGCTCACCAGTCAATCGCGATTATTGTTCACTCGTTTACACGCTAGTGCCACACAGCCCATCGATAGATCGAATGGCCGTGGTTTTGGTGACCACTGTTAGGGTGACCCACAGAATTGCGGGAAAAATCTTAGATTCGAAACGAGGTGATTTCTTGTTTTTCAAAAAGACGTTCATCAATAGACACCGAATGAGTAAAGTCTTTAATCAGATTGCAGTTATCATCTGGTGGTTGTATCAACTGCTGACTCAATTAGAGTTGGACTCCAGATTTTATAGAAGCGTCGATCAGTACTTGGGGATGCACCGACGCCAAAGCTTTCTCGATCAGATGTATGCCCATGAGGAGCCGTACTGGTTGGATACTGCGGCTTTGTTATGGCAAGGGGCGTTATCTATAAATAGTAAAATAGAACGACTTTGAAAAACAATCTTGCGGTTGACATCCGACAGCTGATTGTGAAATGACGCAGGAGTCATCCATGGGTTCTTTGAAGAATTATGACTACAAGGAAGGGTTTTTCTCTCTATACCTTGGAGATATCGTGGAATTTGAAATTTTCCAATTCCCAACGGTGACAACCTTTCTCCCACAAAGCAGTAACTTGACTTTCTTTGGATCTCTTGAATCCATAAACCTTTCTCCTTTGAGAAGTAATGTTCTTTCTGGAAGCTGCTTGTAATACAGGGATGTTTCATCTGTATTGAGGCTATCACAGTCAGCTTATCAATGGATCAACTGCGGTAATCCCGCTCGAAACTCGTCCACCGCATCAGGTGGTATCGCCAAACTTTCACCTTAAACCTATAAAGAAATGCACATGAGTGGTTGCTTGCCTTTTACTTTGTAGCCTTGAATAACGCATCTGTCTGAACGAAACCAACTTTTAGAAGTCTTGCGATAACAGAATTGCCTTCTTGCAAATGTGGCTCTCTATCATGGGGAACTTGTGTCCGGATCTCGGTTGATCACAATGCACACACAACAAGATATCACACGATGATACACAAGGAACAGACGTACCTCAACGGCCACACTAGTCGTCTAGCCTCACGAGTACAATCACAGCACAGATTGGACGCCACGAGCACTAGTAGCCTTCTCCCAGTTACGAAAGCAAGAACACAGTTATTGCACAGCGAACGTGTACGTTTACAAGTTTTACTCTGATGCTTATATGTGACTCAAAATAGCATCGATGAGTGCCGAAAAAGATTGTGCCAAGCAAGTACACAGCAAAGTTCAATCGGTCATAGGTCGCGGATCAGACGGACGAAGCGAATGTTTCCGTATGACACAATATCATTGATTAATCTCCGCGAGATTGGTATTGATTAATTGAAAATACTCGAAAATAGTCAGTTTTAGGTAAAAAAAATAGTCTTTTAGCAAACAGAACTCACCGTGCTTTTCCCTCATTGCAATAAACCAAACCAAGATTGCCTCATTCACTGTCTTGAACTTTTCTTTGGTTTTCAGGTGGCATCTTTCTTGAGATGCTCTAGCGTTTACAAATTATCCGATAGTGGTTCGAGGAGATCTAACACTGTAAACAGTTTTTTCTTGAAATACGAAGTGATTTGGCTATGGAGCTCTCAGTTGCACTTGGCTGATTCAGCATTTCCAACACATTCTGATCGATAAGCGGTTGCACATTTTGAAGTCAAGCGACACTTTCTTCGATTGTTGGCATCGGTGCATCTTCCCCGAAAAGATTATCTAATCAGTGAACAGTGTCATGCTAGCGTCACACTGGGTGCAACGCCATTGGTTGAGTGCGACATTTCAGGGTGGCTGGGCAACGGCCGTCCTGAACGACAGTCAACGACCAAGTGAGTAGGTATCAGGAACTGCGACATATTGTATGGTCAGAAACTACGTTATTACGCATATGGTCGGTTTGGGTTTTCCAAAACGTAGGAAGACATTGGAAAATATGACTTCTCAGGGGTGAGACATAGACATATATATATGTTCTCTCTCTTGATACATATATATATATTTCATCATAAGTAGTATATGATTGATTAGATAAAATTTACTCTGAAGCACATGACCGATGTTTTAGACAAGGTTATTGTGATGAATATATATATATATCTATATATATACATATATACTTGGATATTGATAAGCCTTACAATGAATTCGATAGCATCAATTTTTACCTCTGTTGGAGAATAGCGAACGAAACTGACAAGACTCAAAATCGGGACACTTTACGATCGATATTTCAGGGGGCTGGGGTTCATTGGAAACCCATGGATACACAAAAAGAATACGATAGAGCACACTAATAAATATATTTTTTTAAAATATTTGTCCGATTATTTTGTTTCTTTCGGTTTAGTTGTCCTTGAAACGTTTTGCCTGTAACACGCACGCACACACACATGCACTGAAACCGTTCCTCCGCACTTCGTCGTGGTCAGAAATCAATGACCCACAATTCGGTCTACGACAAGTATTTTATAAACACATTTTGTCACGCAGAATTTGTAAGAGCATAAGTTGGAATCGTGAAAAACAGTTGTCCACCTCATCCCAAAACATTGTCGCAATATTATTACATAGTGTGGAAAGTTCATACACTTAAGAACCAGACTATCCAAATAAAATTATCATGAAAATCACTGAGTTCTTTTTCGATGATTTGTTCACTGGCTGGTACCTCGCAGGTTGTATCATAATTTTCAAAGAGAGAATTCGTAGTGTATAGAGCAAATGAAGCATGAACTGCTAACCCATAAAGCACTGGACAGCTGTTTCGATCTGGTTAGGTCTCATCAGCACTGGGCGAATCCATCCAACCAACTGGCGGTAGAACCCGGGACCTCATGGGCAGAACGCAAGCGTGTTACCCACTCTGCCAGGGGGCAGTTGATCAGACCGCTTTCCATTTTCCATTTACACGATATAGCACAACCCATCTTTGCGAGCTTGTTGCGCGCCATTGACCTCGCTCATCTCAGCACTAGCCTCCGGGGTTATGACTCGGGTGGAAACAGGCACGACCTAACTATCATAATGATTGTTTTATAGCGATTCATTACGAAATGAGAAAAGAAATGACATTTCAGTTTCATGACCGAAATTTGCTGATACATAATTCAAAAATTCGGCAATCAGGGTTCGGGGAAGGAGGAGCGAGGGTGATGGCAACGGCACTCACTGATACTCAGACTTTCATCACCACCACCATCGACATCAACTCTAACCTTCACGCTCTAAGTAGTCATCTCCCTTAGGGCCGGAACATATGCGTGTGTGGTGACCAAACGGTGAATCAATAACCGATCGTGAAGCTCAAATGTCAAATTTTTGTCATTCCATAACAAATATTTCCACGCCAACCATTAAGAAATAAATTGTAATGCATTAAACAATGACTGACTCACCGAAAATATGCTTGTTCGCTAAGATATTCGGTAATTGAATTGGGGTAATCATATACCTTCGTAATACATTAGATATTTTGTTAACACATAAAAATCTACTCAAGAATGGTATACTTTTGTTCGTGCGGAAAGGTATTTGTGTTTGAGGTGAATGGAAGAAACCAAAACCTAGTTAGATAGGAGGGAAGGTGAAAAGCATGGGCAACCTGGAATGCGGATGGGGGACTTTAGTTTGTGACGAATGAGAAAGTTGTGGTGTGCTGGAAGAACATGAGCCTTGGATCAAGCAAACACACACGAGTAAATGTTTGAGTGTTATGGATACCGCACAGATTTTTAGTGACATATCGGTAAAGATCACCGGGCAGGCTGTGTGGGCGGATTACGTAGCAGCCTCAGTCGGAATGTGTAAACATGGAGTTTTCTAGCTCTTGCAGAACCATCATTGTTATGGGTGGACCAAACGGGAGAACGTTTGTTATTCAGACCTGAATAGGCAATAAAGCATCTCAGCTTCAACTGACAATAAACTTTCCACTGTAAACTTCGTCGGAAATATTTATTAATAATATTATTGTTTTTTAACAATAGCAAAGAGAAAGTAATCACACTTATTATGAATACCCTTTTCTGTTATGCTACAGAAAGCTCCATTTTTTTGCTCCAAATCGAACTGCAAATGTGACGGATTCAAAACAAGTTTGCACTGCGATTGTGGCATCGAATCGTATAAACATCAAATGGTGGTAAGTGCACAAGTGAAACTGAACATTACATTGAGCGAGTTGCGTACTTGATGGCTGGTTCCGTCAATCTGCTATTTCTGTCGGAGCTGGTGGACGACAGAGGTCGTGTTATTTTTTAAATCTCATCATCACAACTGAATTTATTCACTTCTTAAACTAACTGGCAGTTACCCCAGTTCCACTAAGAGAATATCAAGCAAGCAGTGGCCGTTTTAGCCAAAAGGGAGAAAATTTTGTAACTCGACTCCCATAGTACACTTCGGATGGGTAAATATGTATAATAATCAAGCCGGTAGCCATTGTTTTGACTGATCTATGCCTGTATTATTTTTACTGAAACCTTACATCTTCTCGAATATTGTGAATGAAGATTTTGAATCCTGAGATCAAGACGATTAGTTTGCGCAACGTATGCGGCATCTCTTCAATCTATTTGTACACGCGTAGACTACAGTTATTGTAAACATTTGCACAGGTAAATGAAATGGTAAATTGTTAAAAGAAACCAATTCGTATACGTTTACAGTGATGGAGAGCGGAAGAGGGCAAAGCAAATATGAGTTTCCCACGGGAGAAGTAAACTGGTCAGCAATTCTCGCTGTTTGCACAATAGTCGATGGCGATCAGTGATGGAGGGCTAGTACTTGGGTATAACTGGGTGAGTTTAAAGGGGGGGGGACGATCCAAATAATTGAAAACGTATTTGGCTGAATGAACACAACGTTTTCCTGCCCCCGAGTGTTGCATAAGCGGTGGCCTCCAATTTTATTGTTTGTCTATTGACATCAGCACTTCAAAATTACCGTTCCTCGCTTTCTGAAGCCACGCCGCAATTCATTCACTCTTTCTGTATGGCTGAAAATCCACACTTGAGTTGGTAAATCCAGTCGGAATTGAGGTGTGTATCGCGGGGTAGTAATTTTTTCAAGGGTGGCGTTTAAATTGAGAGAATAATCCTTGGTTCGGCCAGGAGGCACAAGTAGCTGACTGTTGAGAACAAACGCTTGGTAATTATCCGGCAGATATCGTAATTATTGAAAAAGAATCAAATAAAAGCCCTCGGGTATTCTCATTGAGCCCACCGTCACCTAAGAGTGGTTTGAGATGTACGCTCCCTGATACCCTTTCTTCTCCAGTAATGTGTTCATACTCCTTCCTTCTCTAGTGAGTCTGTAAAATACATTTTCCGCATTTGAACTAGCCTGATCTTATATGTTGTTCGGGTAAAGCTGGCGAAGTGAAGAAATCGTCAATACCCCGTGGATTTGTGTTCTATAGACCTCTTGATTAGCTCGAAGGAAACATTACTGCGTTTGACACAGAGATGTCATTGTCTTATTCATCGTGATCTGTTACTCGAATCAATGGGATCACTGATGCTAAACTGTATAAGTAGTTCCCAGGTGCCATGTTTGCTTCCACTGGTGATAAGCCCATCATCACCATGGTGTCGACAAAGATGTTTATAATTTTCATAGCACTTAAATGGAATTACTTCTTGGGGTATAAATGATCTCCCAAGAAGTGAAACCCACATCCAACATCATCATCAACAGTGTCTGGTACCGGCGAAAAAACAAATGGGTTAATCCAAACATTCATCCACCAAATAGATAAACAATATTAACTGGTTAAATTCCACCTGATGGGATTTTAGCTTAGTTTGTTTGGTTGAAGTCAATTTCACATACTGGATTGTCTCTCTCTTGTACCATTCGGGCAATACAGACAGTAGGGGGCAGAACTTTGGGTACAATGGCCGTGCGCTCAGCATGTTCACATTGATGGTGTAACCAAACCGCTATATTCACATGCTACCGAAGTCTTCCCAGTTTTTTTCTTATGAGGTCGACTGTTTGATGCGGACCGACCATTCAGTTCTCAACTACCTTCGAACCAACTGTGTGGTATTTTCGCACAGTGTCTTTAGGGTGCCTGATGCACACTAGAGTGCAGAATGAACTGCCAGGCAACAGTGTGACGTCAACTAACCAGAAAAGAAGATGAAGACGAGAGCAACTGAACATTGAACGCTGCCCTTCCGTGATACTTTTTTAATATTGGCCCCGCTTATTGAATGACGATACAGTTTGAATGGCTTCTAACACTTTCCATTCAGTGCGGCCATGGTTCTCTCATCACACAGCAATTTACCGGACATGGCGGTTTCGTTAGGCGAATCATTTTTCTTATACACTTCATTTCCGGAAACGACAAAATATTTTCACAATCATTCGGTAGTATTTGGTAATCATGAACTGCAGAAAATCTGTAGGAATTTGATGGAATACCCTATTCATTGGAATGAGGGTTTAAATTTGTTTGCAGACAGAAACAGTGACTGAAAGACATGCTCGAGGTCGTCCGATTGGTAAGCCTTGTCCGTATCAGGCAATGGGCGGTCTGACCGGTTTCAGTTCTCTGGCCTCCGGAATCGGGCGAATGGATGAAACCGGGGCCGGGGGACTTTTGACCGAGGAAGAATTGAACGCACCAATCACGTCCAACGATCACCCGTTTTTGCGCAGCCAAGCACAAACGGTTTACGCGTACAAATTGGCTCAGAACGATATTGAAGGTGGGTTTCTGAACTAGTGCCTGCTTTCAAGTTCGTATACTGAACTGAAATTATTTTAGATTGGATAAAGGAAATTATTATTATTATAAGCATTATTATTATTATTATTATTATTATTATTATTATGACAAGTGATCAAAGTGATAAGAAACAAAATTAAGGTTCCATCATTCTGTGATCATATTGATCTTTCTGCATATTTTGGACTTGGAAGTAACCAGCTGATTCCTTTTCATCATCTTGTGCTGTATGAGACTCGTGATGTTGAGGACAGTGATTCGTTTCAGAATACCTCGTTTTCGAGCCAAACAGTTTTAATAGAAACACCACCGCATTATACCACCTTATTTTTACGTTGTAGTTGGTCACCCTTGTGTACTTTAAATGACCCAGAGATAGTTTTCACCAACTATATAGTCAGAGTATAATTTTCGAATATCACATACAAGTTCTGAATGACTTCTCTGTTTGTGCGTTTCAGTGTTTATGAAGTCCTTCAGTGTGTGGCCACTCTATGAGAGAAATTATTTCAAAAACAAATTTCAAACTGTTAATTGCTATAAGCTGGGTCCCCCGGTTTCCCTTTGAAATTTCAGTAGTTACGTTATATTTGTACACGGGATTCGGCTCGTACTACAGAGCAGTCATCCTTTCTGTTAGCTTGGAGCAGTCCGCAGGTCTTCCGGGTTCAAACAGAGAAGCGAAGTCGATGTGAACGCACGACAGAATGCCTTCGGTTCATAGTCTCGGAAACACCAGAAAATGTGAGACCTGACAGTGGAACTGTGGGGATGCGGTCATGCTTGCCGAAAGGGGAGGGGGAGAAATAGTGAGAAATGATTGGTAGTTATTCTCACCGTACGTTGAGTTTTAAAGCATACCTCACACGAAAAATAAACAGAAGCGCCAAGAACACAAACGTTGCAGTGAGATGCAATCACTTGCACAAATATTTTTCAGCGCCGATAGACAATCGTTGCAAATGAATTAGTGAGAATGAAAATCTTGAATGGATCTGTCTGCGTTAACAAAACAAAGCCAAGTAAAAGCAGGTCAAATCCCGAATGTAGGGAGATGATTATAATATATATGAGTGAGGTAGAATAAAAGTATGGATGTTTTTCTTTTCACAATGTTTGATTCATGAACAACAGAATGGGTAACTTTCGTCGTCAGAAGGAACTACTGTTGTGGCTTAGAATTGAGTCACGTGTTCACCATTCCGACAAATGGTCTAATCGATCGATTGGGCGATGCGGACGCATGCGGACGCACGCATGCTCTAAGACTTTAATCTACTATAATATCGATCCGCTTCAGCCACTCGGATGTTAGCATTAAACCATCCACGTTGATTGATTCATTGATTATAGGGCTACCTCACTTGACCGCATTCGGATGTCTTAAAATGCTTGAGCCTGTTGTTGGCCTCCCAGCCTGCTTGTTTATTTGCGTGTTTTCGCCGCCGTTCTGCTTATTCACTCGAAGTGTTCAGGGTAACCGTTATCGCTCGCATGCCGCCGGCGAAAAATGGGAGCTGCGGAATGCTGACCCTATCTGCTGAGATTAAAAAGCTAAACAGATAGGATAGTTCGTTACTCGGGTTATCCTTTAAAAATGTCTTCATGACCAAAAATGTAGGTTCATGAACCTGTCAGAACCGAGAATATCGAAGCAAATAACGTTAGCCCGGTTGTTTATTTTATGGAAGATTCCCATAAGAATATGAAAAGCCAAACAATATAGCGAACAAGCTTTTTTATTACACAAAATGAATTACAGTAAACGGGGAGGTCCCCATGAGCAAATAGCATACTATAAAAGGGAGAGTAAAGGGAACATTCACGTAAGATCCAATTTATTGATTCTGCTTTTAAAAAGTATGAGATTGTAAGTTGGGGGAAAAACAGCAAGTGGGAGGGTGTTCCACAGTTTGGTAGTTCGGGGACAAAAGGAGATTGGAGTAGAGAGGTACGACATCTGGGAACAGAAACTTGATAAGGATGACTATATGCCGGTGTACGAGATGGACGGGAAAAAGTTGCAGGAAGAGGAACTGTCGAGGCAAGAGCTGGGGTGAAAAAACGTCTGGCGCGAAACAGAATTCCAACCTTGCGCGCAGCACGAGAAGCGAGCTTGGTTATAAAAGGGGACCAGCATAAAGAAGAAGTTATAGGCAATCCAAGAAGGAAAACAGAGCCTGTGGAACGCAGTTGGGTGGAATCAAATGATAACTGGGGCGAGAACGAATGGTGTTTTAAAGAAATTGAAAGAAGAAATGTTCTGGAACTATTGAACGAAACGTGGTTTGCAATGTCCCACGAGGAGATGTGTTCGAGATCGGAGTCCAGTGACACAGTAACTGCACTACTGTCACCATCGATGTTGTTTTGGGTATGGTGAGCAGTGCGGTAGGAGACAGATCAGTGGAGGGTGGCGTCATCAGCAAAATAATGGATCGGGTTGGTAGTTTGGGAAAGGAGATCATTCATAAATAGAAGGAAGGGGGTGGGCGCAAGTACTGAACCTTGGGGAACACCAGCGTTTACAGGGAATGGCTGGGATAGGACCCCATCAACTCGGAAGGAGATGGTTCGCTTGCTGAGGAAATTTGATATCCACGATACGAGCGCTGGAGGGAACCCGAACATAGGTAGTTTCCCCAGTAGACCTTCGTGCCAAACTCGGTCAAAGGCCCTTGAGATGTCGAGCGAGACCAGGTGTGTTTCTCCGTGGTTATCGAGTGGAGCTGACCGGGATTGAGAGACAAGCGCCAGAAGGTCACCGGTGGAACGACGCGGTCGAAAGCCATACTGACGGTCGCTCAGTAATCCTTCACGTTCAAGGAACGTGCGTAGTTGGTCAGAAATGATAGATTCAAATACTTTCGAAAAAACAGATGTGAGGGAGATTGGTCGATAGTTGTTGGGGTTAGAAAGATCGCCGCGTTTGGGAATGGGAAAAATCACGGCGTGTTTCCAGGGGTTTGGAAAGGAGGAAAGTTGGAGGGAAAGACTGAAAAGATGACGTAAAACAGGAGCCCAGCTCGGGAGCACACATTTTGAAGACGATGGGAGAAATACCGTCCGGACCGGGTGGTTTGTTTGCGTTTAGAGAGCGCAATGTTTGACGGATTTTCCTGGTGCTATGGGGTAGAAAACCGTTGCCAGTGAAGGAGGAGGGTAGAGGTGTAGTAAAATGGGGTAAGGTGGAATTGGCGGCAAACTGGGAAGCGAAAACCTCAGATTTCTCGTGTGGTTGACATACAAGATTACCAGAGGAATTACAGATACGGGGGAGGTTGGAGGGGCAGAAATTACGGGAAACTGCTTTGGCAAGGGACCAAAATTTTCGGCCACCAGTGGCAGACGAGACCAAGTTCTCTTGTTTTCTTGTTTTCGTAACCTCGTCTCCAGGCCTTTACAGTTATTTGTGTGTTTATATCTAATGTAGAAATAAATGTGATTGGTCCATAGAGGTTAAGTATGGAAATACAACAATGTCTATCAATTTTAATCAGAACGAGTGGATAAAATGGGGACAGTGGGCGAAGGGGGGCGGAACAAAAGTCAATTCTGGAATTTTCGGTGACCTTTTTCACGTGCAATTTGTCACGTCATCATGACATGACTGAGGTCATGGTTCGGGTCATCACGTAGATTTCGTTGGGGCCAAGGCGACTGGATTACGGCAACCATCTTCTTCTGTTAGCACAGTGGTATGTTCATGATTTTGATTGCTACAGCTTCTGCCGTTGTCAAATGATGTTTCCGAACGTGCTTCGATTTATTTTGGGGTACTTTGTAGATGACTTTGAATGCATCGTTGTTTGGCTGATGCCCGGTATCAGCGAGGTGGGCCATAATCGCACTGGTCATTGTTTTCTTCCAATTCGTTCTAAGCCAATCCGGTTTATGTTCTCCGATCCTTTGTGAGAACTGTCTCATCGTTCGTCCTATATTACTTGCCGAACATGTGCATGTGAAGGAATACGTAGTCATAGATGAGGAGAGGATCGACAGCTTATCCTCAAGGTTTGTGCAGATCTGAGGCCGGTTTGTAAACATCAAACATAGAGTGGCGGCTGGAAATGTTCGTGCAATAGCTTTCTCCAGACGTCTTCTTAGTAGATCACCACTCACGTCGCCTTTGAACGGGAGCTACAAGAATAGTTTTCTTTATGGCCGTGCTTGGTTTATTTTATGCCTTGATTTGACTACACAACATCATATTGTGACAAAAATTAGTAACTCGGGGGCATTCACATGAGAACAAGGGAGAGTTTCATCCATATACATAGTGCATTTCGCAGTGCGCAGAGCAAATAAAATGTGTGAACTGAAAAATGGCGAATCAGTTAGCAGCTTCAAGGACCTGATTAGGTTTCACATCAGCCGTGCAAATCCATCGACCCAACTGGGGATCAAACCCGGGACCTCGCCGGCCCACTACTCACTTGGTCATCGGACTACTGATTAGACTGCACTGATTTGATCTCGACATGATACAGCACAATGCACCTCTGTGTGCTTGATATGAGCATCGAGCCTCATTCATAACCTTTCGGGTGATGACTCGGTTGAGGATATTTTGTCACCGAAAGCCTCAGTATGGTCAGCAGTGAGTGTCTCGGATTGTGGCTGGTCATCCTTCCGTTACACCTTGCGGAATCGTTCAATACAACCAAGTGTCTCAACTAGCCAGCGCTAAGGAAGCCCTACTCACTACCTTCTCGTGGCGGAGGTGTTTTCCCACCAAAGTGAGAGTTAATATAAAACCAAGACTCTCTCAGGGGAAATTTTAGCAACTGAAGTACCTGTGAAATCACGCACACACACGATCATACGTTGGCTCAATACGACGTTGATCAGGTCTGTTCGACTCCCCGTAGTGTGATGTAATTTTACTGGGGTGCATTTATTTTACCTCATTCACAAAGAATCCCCAGTGAGATAGTCTGATATGAGTTGTTTTATTTGGGCGTTTTTCTGTTGCTACAAAGGTGAATTAGTTGTTGTAATCTCGTATGCTGGGATCACCACAGGTTGATGCTGGATGGAGTTTGAATTCTCAATCGGAAAACCTAAAGAAAGCAACGAGAGTAGCTTCACGCAACACATGCGAAATATAGAACGATTTGGTTGGAAAACTGTGGAATGAGAAAGCAACTTATTATTCTCGTATATAGTAAATATTTTTACATAACGATCAAAAGAATTATGTACACCAAAGCTAGGAAACACTGTGCACCTATTTCGGCTTGATTGAACCATGTGAGCAATGCGAATTCATCGATCCGATTCGGGATCGAGTCCGTGATCCCAAACGCACGCGTACTACTCACTTGCCATTCCCACCACCCCTGGGAAGCTGAACAGATCACTTTTACGTCTGTCCATGCATGATGTGGGCATAACTCATCTTTGCAAACAAATAAACAGGTAAGGCAGTAAAAGCTGTACGGTGCTTCCCAGCTTTACAGTTCTCGCTTCTGTTACTTTATTCGAGACGATATTGGCCGTGTAGTCGAAAACAAACTTCCACCAGTTCGATTATTGTTCACTACTATCTGAATGAATGAATTTATATACTTTAAAACCCGTCTGTGTCAAAACTGTGTGCTAAATAAATCATCATACAATCAACTTTATGAATAGAAGACGTTGCACGATTTAGTTGTGATCACGACATAGCCATGTTGCCCAGGGCAGGGTGCACGTGAATCTTTCGGGGGGGGGGGGGGG